GACTCTGTATAAACAAAAAAGGGTGAGCATCATTCCCTTGAGCTAGGCCTACCACAGATTGAAACCAATGGTATCATGAAAAAAATTTTAACCGATTGTATCCTTCCCGAGGACCCATCTGCTAGTAATTTCGACTCCCAGTCTGTACTTGTGTATGCGTAGTAGGGCTGATGGAAAAATAAGTTTGAGGGCGAGGTCAATATTTACTTCAAGTCATTTTCCAATTTTGTAGAGCAATTCGTGGAGCGGTTCTGTGGAACGAATGGAAAACGCTCTCCACATCTACGTTTTTCGCACAAGGAGATCCATAAAACTTCCGCATATAGCGCAGGCTGTTGCTGCTTTCCCTCTCTGGTAGCCTTCTTCTGACGGAATGCTTTGCCCTGGAATTTCGAGGTTGAGTAAAGAATGCTAAAAATCATCAGATCACAGATGAATACTGTACCTGGAGGATGGGCCGCAACTGCACTTCGAGCAAGGTTATGGGTTGCAGCCTACAGTCGAGTGAATTCGGTATCGTGAATCTGAATTCAGTAGCAACTAGAATGCGTCAAGTTAAAAAAAAACACTTCTGGTGGAGATTTGAATATGCCCGTCCGAATCGCAATCACCACAAGTACATTTTCCTCGAAGCAAGTTTTCGAGAAGCTCCGAGGAAAGACTTTTTCCGGACTTCTCCCGTCTTCTTCCCATTTCTTTGACGCAAGGAATGAAACTTTCCGAGTAGAACTTATTACTGAGGCTATATTTCGTATCACAGTTTGTGTGGATTTTCCAGAAACGACTTTCCGTGGATTTCTAAAAATGTCCAGCTTCCATGAACTCCTGCAAAAAAAAAAAAAAGAGTTTCGATAAATCTCAGTGGAGTTGTTTCGAGACAAAGCGCATCCATCGTTATAGGCAACCCGTTTGCGGATTATGACGCAAGCATTCCATTCCGAACATTTGCCTTCTTTCCGTCTACCGTAGCTAAAGGTACCCATTATTCTCGGTTACTTGACTTACATTGCCGGTATAGTCGGATTTTCTGAGTTTCCCACATCCACTCAGCATCGTTATCCCCTCCGTCATCACGCCATCACCACTGTCTTATCTTCTCTTTTTTTCTTCGATAAAATCTCCCGAAAAGCACCACGTGACAGAGTAGAGCGTCTTGATGAAATCGCGTGCCGAAGTTACCGCGATCATTGTATTATTGGTATTAGATTGCATCACTACATGTATCTTACAGTCCCGCAGTGACCATCGAGGACATTTTCGCCTTCATTTTGAGCATTTATACTCCGACTCTTCGTCAGACAATGAACGTTCTGAAGAATGAACCCGTGTCCAGGACAAAAAAGGACTGCCGAATAGCAGATTTGGGCTTAATGAATGAAAATGTGTACTTGTTTACTCTCATGAAATAAAAATTGCAGGCATCAATTTCATCTCACGGAAAATTGTTATGAGCATAATTTCCCCAACATCATTATTTTCCTTGGCGGCTGGAATTGCCTGCAGCATAATTAGAATTCTCCAAGAAATACTGAAGCTTATGAACGGGAAACATTTAACAACAATAAACCAGTAATTTTGAAAAATTAGGTTTGTCATTTTAGGAAATATGTTTTTGCCTCGTTAAACGAAAAGCTTGAAAAGCAAGCATTATAAACATCGAACTGGCGTTGAAAAAATTCCGCTAGGAACAACCGGCGTTCCAAATCATGAACCGATGTTTGTGATGAAAAATGACTTTACAAAAATGAGGCGTTTACAAAAATAGTTTTTCAAGGACATTTTTATTTTTCGAGGAAAGGGGCTGTGTTTTTCTCTGCGAAAAATCAGAAATTTCTGCAAAACTTTTTGCCAGCGGAAAAGATTAAGTTGTTCCTCCTCTGGGTTGAAATATTCTGTACCTTGATTGTTGTCAGAAAATATATTTTCAATGCAAAATTCATGGCTCATGTCAAGAGCTAATAAATGTTCCGTACATTTTCACGGAAAACCGTGTCCCAAACAGTGGAAGGCGTAAGCAATGAAGCGCTTATTGGAGAGAATTTGGTTTGTTATTCTAGACATGAACTTTCAAACTGAAACTTGGGTAAAAATTTAATTTCCATTTTCCGTCGCGTTATTCAAAGCGGGAAATCGGGGAAATAGGCTAACGAACCGACCCACTCTGGGCTGCGTAATTCGATACAAAGACTATTTAAACTTACTCGCCGCCCTCAATGTTTCCCACCGCGGAGGAAATTCGTTCTCATCACAGTGAACTTTCGTCGAAAGCAGGGAGTAACTTCATGGAGTTCAAAAAAGGTTTTCTCTCATCTAATCAACACAGAATAATTACTCCAACGTCTCGCATACCACGGCTTGAAATTCCCTGCAGGAAATTGAGCTCTTTACTGCCTTCTTCTCTCATTGCTGCGAACGCAATCCAACTTTCGAACGACGCAACGCGTCGCAAAATTTCATTCATTCTCCAGAAGGTGAATACACGGACTCGGCAAGAAAGCATCGGGTTCCTCGTTTAATCGCTTGAATGAGGTGCTTCCAGGCGGACCCGGGAATATTTTGAAGCCATCGGGTTGCAAATCGAGGGCGCATGTCCCCCACTTTGGAGCTCTTTTGACATTCGACGTCACTCCAGAAAGTGCATTGCAATTTGATGAACCCCAGTAAACTTGAAGGAAAATGAGATCGGAAGCTTTGGGAGGGGTTGACCCGTTTCCGATCCGAGAGTGCATTCGGTTCGTCGAAGCAGGGGACGTTGGTTGCGAAAGGAAAGCCCTTCGATTTCACCGTGGACGCATTCCGATTGAGACTCTCGGCGGATATCACATTGCGTTGGAGGAAATTCGCTGGATTCAAGCCAGGGATTTTGAGCCGCGGAATCGATTTCCCTTCAGCATGTTCGTCCATCAATGCCTCTGAAGAGTTGATTGTCTCTGCTGATAATGCGGAAGAACAAAAATAGGCTATCATTCGCATCTCGAACCGCGGACGGAATCTGCCGCGGAGCTCTGCTGATGGGTTCTCTGCAGACACGTAGCGTGCTTTCGCTACCCCATCTCCTTCGTTTCAATTTTCTACCCGGGGTTAGCCGATACGCAGAACGGGACACGTTCTGCGAATCCCACAGAGGATTATTTCCTGCGTTTCGCCAACGTCACGACAGCGTGTTTTCGAATCATTTCGACGACCGTGTGCAGCGTGGCTGCAACGACGGCGTAACCCTCGTGTTTCTCCATGAATCACCGCATTACTTGACCTGTCAAAACCCAATACGTTCCTGCAGATGGAATAGGTCAAGTCTTTTTTTTTTTTTTTTTAGTGAGGAAGACTTTTTTAATTTTCTCCCTCTGACTGGCCCAGGGGAGATGAGATCCAACTGCGAGTAAGAAATGAAAAATTAAATGCCTTTTACGGGCCTCAACGCGGCTCGCAGGGATTTTACGACTCCTATCACGGCTACGTCCGGATATCCCACGAAGCGGTGCTCATCCTTTCCTCATTCATAATTTATGTCTTCCGGAGTAGGGCCGAAATATACTTCGGTTTGAATCTAGCGGCTTTTCTTTCGAAAATGAAGCGAAAGTGAATCAGTTCAAGGCCATTCTTTCCATCGTTCAGTTAGAGGGGCAAACATATTTTTCAAACTGCAACTTGTTTAGATTTAAAAAGAAGCATTTCTGCGATGCAGAAGAATTTAATTCTAATTACTGTATTCGGGTCTGGGGATTTCAGGTATGTACAGGCATTATTTAACACGAGTACAAGCCGAATCAAGCTTTAGTTCCCGGAACAAACATCTCGACGAAAATTGCTTTCGAATAGTCGATTTCCGATTGGTGCATCAATTTGAAATACATAAGATCAGATCTGAATTTCCCAGTTCTCACCAGACATTGAAAACTAATGAACTGTCGGGCATTTTGTAGTACTGTTGGGGGGGGGGGCGATTATGCAGATAACGAAGCAGCTCTTCGCGAAGCGTGGGTTAAAAACACTCCGAAGTTAGAATGCATGGCATAATTGGGCAGTCGGAAGTTGTGATGATGCGGTCAAATGAATGATGCGCAAGCATCATGCAAATCCATATTTGAGTCATACGGGGGAAGTACTGAAACAAGAACTGAATTCTCTTCGTGGGGTCTGTTGCAGTTTTTTTTTTCTTTTTTACTTAGCTGGAACAGAGGTTTCCAACTTGAACACTTGTGGTTTTGGGTTCATTCCCAAGGTGCTTTTCTCCCTACTCCAACGAAGAAAATCGAATACGGGAAATTTGAATAAAATATAATTTGTAGAAGCACTTCCCGTGAAATATATGCGAGGACTCTTGCATCAGTAAATCACGTTGAAATCCGAAAATAAAACAATAAAAACGCGTTTCAAGTCTTGAAGAAACAAGGACGCTGTAATTGTAAATATAGTACAGTAAAGTATAAATTTTTAGCATCCAGACTCTGATTGATCGGACATTCGAGTACTCATGCACCTAAATAGAGCTTATTGAAAAGGAACCAAAGCGGCCTGTTGACTTCGTGCAGTACAGTATTTTCCTTCTATCGACTTATTACCATAAACGCTGATGCATTTATAAGTATGAGGGATTGTTGCTAATCTGATCAGACCATTTTTAATATCGTTCTACGATAAAAGTGCTCGTAGCATCCGATTATCCGTACACTGGCAACCGGCCACAATGCCGGATAATGGGAATTCTGCAACGTATACGCTATAGAGTAGGCTCAAGGAGTTCCGTCATACTTATTATTGGAGATGAATGTGCTCTTTGAAGCAGGAACTTTGAAAAACTCTAGATTAGAATATTCTCCCAACCTGTGATGAGTGATGGATGACACGTTACCGTCGAGGCGCGGGTATTCCAATTCTTCGACGAAACGCCATCGCAGCCGCAAGGAAGATGACACCCGATTTAGCTCATGACGTAGCTTATTTCTAAACTCCAGTGCACTTTAAACGTGTAACGGTCTCGGATGTTCTTGTCGTTCCAGTTGCCGACTTCTCGCAGCAACTCGCCCAGATCCACGAGCAACATGCGGACGACCTACAGGCACTCGTGGAAAACTTCCGTCGCAGGCAAACCGACTTGCGCAAGGAGTGGTGAGTATTTTTTTATGGGCCTGCTATTTTTTATAGGCCTCGTTGCAGATGTGTGCAATGTTTTGAGCAATGGGATTATTTCAACGCAGGCCTCCGGGCAACAACTCGCTACTGCAGAGCTGGGAGTTGTTTTTACAGCAAGTCGAGTCAGACTCCCAGAGTCACGGGGAAATAGCTTCCATTCTCGGCCGGAAACTCGGCCAAACCCTGCTTGAGAAGACATTCCATCGGAAGATACAGAGTCGGAAGATTTTCCTCCATAGGGACATGTACGAAGGCATTCTCACAAAAGCTGACGAGGCTCTGCAGAAGGTAACTTATCTGGCTTGTTGCGTTTCGTATATAGATCTTGAAAGCTGAAATCTCCGCCAATGATTCATCATAGCTTAATTGCATTGCCTTTTGATGTGATATCGAAAGAAGTCGCATTGGCCTTTGTTTGAGATTCTCGACATCGATCAAGCCCGCGGACGAAGTGGCACAACTTCGGCCCATTTCAAATAGCCCTTCTCTTGTCGCTTGCTGATCGGAGATATGCGAAAAAACTGGGCATTGATTCGAGAGATTTTTGAGGCCGCGGGTCGGAGTTGACCTTTGACCCATGCGACGGGGCCGAGACATTGAACTTCTGGTTCTTCGAATTGATTCCAGTCGCAGGCAGATTACTTCGCCGCCTATCAGCAGCTGCTCACGCATCGCGCATCGGGTCAAACGGCGTACCTGGAAGCCCACAACCTTTACGTGCAGAATCTCCGGGCAGCCAATGCGATGATCCACGAGTTCAACACTTCTTGCCTGCCTACGTTGTTGGAGGTGAGACTCATCGCGAAGAGAGGTGACCTCCCGTCCCGAGATCCTCGGCGACGAAGCTTAAAAATAGCGTTCCGCGCCCCGTGACAATCTCGTGTGTCGACTTTAGTCACGCGTGAGGTCATGCAACGGCTGCAATATTCCGCGAGGAGCTAGATTAATATCCGCGGGAGCCGCAGCCATGATTGCCCGTCCTGTAAGTCACAAACGTGCCCGTTTTGTCAAAGCACTGGACGAGTTCGGTGCCGACCTGGGATCGCGATTCATTGCGCGTTTATGGTCCTTCCGCCGCGACGGCATCAGCTAGCAACCATGGCCCTGCACACCGGGGATCGACGATTCATCATAGGTGGGATTGAGTCTTATCCGTCCCGATGTTGACATCTCAACTTCCTCACTTCCGCAAAAATCCGCTGCAGTATTTACACCTCTCGAATCCCGGCGACCTTCATTCCACTTCAGCTCTCGTGGAGGCCGATTAAAATATTTTCAAAAGAAAAATTCGGGATTGATAAAATGTCACGGGAGACGGAAGAGGAATCGCCGGAGTGGAGAAAAATGCCTCGGAGTAAAATAAATTGGGCGCAAGTGTTATTTTTGCCTCTTTTCAGTCATGGGTTGAAATGCATTCGAGGATATTTTTGTATTTATGGCGTACTATAGTACAGTATACCTAGTGTGATGAAACCCCGGTGGATATATGTTCCGAAAATCTTGTTGGAGAAAACGACGGAATGGAAATATACCTTATACGGAAAATGAGATGTTGGGGGATGTAATTGGAGAGAAAACACGGGGTACAGGAACTAATTGGGGAGAAAATGCCTCAGCAGGAAAAGGTTTCGAGAGATACAGTGCAATATTGTTATTCAATTTCCTGGTCTTAGTTGAAAATTGCTTGCATAGATATTTTCGTAAAGGCTTTTGAATCGTCTTGTTTCTACTGGAATTCATTGTCATGGGATATTTTATTCCGCGTGATTCCTCTTACACATGGGCATTTTGACGCGCGGCAGTTTCCAACTGGATTACTAAAGGGTACGAATTTTTTTTCTGGAACGTTTCATTACTTATCATTACTTCCTAAATGCTTTCTCCTTTCTGTTGCATTTTTTCTCTTCCGTCATCTTTTTTTTTTTTTTTTTTTTTTTTTGTGATGCCGTCTCTCCCCATCATCTTCTGTTTATGATATTTCCTCACGCGGCATTTCATGTACCAAGCGTTTTCTCCACCCCGGCATTTTCTCGCAGCGGTGTTGAAAGCTTCGCGCTGCTACAAATTTTTTAAGAACTGTTTTCAACGCATCGAAAAGGGAAACTTCCAGTGATAGGAACGCTTGAATGTGACAGCGGAGAAATAAGACTCATTCTCACGTGGATCCCATTTCCCGAGAAGACGGGAAACAATATAGCGTCGGGAAGAATCAAGATAGACTGAGGCAAAGGTCAAGATTATTTCCGTTGCCAGGGCAGCCTCGTAAGTGAGAGAAACGAAGCTCCACTGGGTTCGTGACGTACGTCGCGGTCGTAATTCACGCTGCGCAATCAAATGATCGGGATGCATGCTAATTTCGATTGCATCCTCCACCGCAGGAACTGGATGAAATTTATGATGAAATATCGTACTCGGTGGCCGACGTCATTCTTCAGAGCGCCAATATTTTTGCGGCGAAGGTGAGCTCAACAGCACGAGTCACTTGTTGCAACCCGGGCCGCATCGATTTATCGAGGGACTTCTTGAATTCTCCCGCAAGCGATTCTGCTGCTTTCTTTTATCGCTTATTCCTCGCTCTACAGGGCCAGGGGCAGCAGACGAGATACGAGGATCTCGGCCAGTTCTGCAGGAGCGTGAATTCCAGGGTGGATTTGGCCAATTTGATCAAGAACGTGTTCGTTCATCAGCAGCCGCTGAAAATCCATTCTTTCATTTCCCCCGTCGCTGCCTCGAATAACTTGGATGGTCATAACGGGACCCAGGTCGCCGCAGATGTAAGTTTCCTCCTGCTTCAATATTTATTTCGAACGGAAATCCGATCTTCCGCGAGGGTTCGCGTAAGCTCCGCGAATAAAATCCAACGGAGCGCAGAAAATCTGGCTATTCCTCAGATTAGGGCGGGGAATTTTCTCCGCGCTACATTCGGAAATAAGCGCTGAATTGTATGCCGTGAAGAGTCTATCGCCCGATCGATTGCCATGCATATCGAAGTTGTCCGAGGGATATAGAAAAAGAGGGTCTTTTGAAAAGCGTAGCACGATTGACACGCGAGAGTGACGAAGGTATTCATTGTTCGCTTCAAAAAGAGCCGAAAATATTCTTGCGAAAAGCCAGAAGGCGAGGGAGTAGCTCAGTGGTCGCACCAACGGTATCGACCACTTATCTCCTCTGGATTCCTTTCTTTAGTCACATGCTGTGTAACATGTATTATTCTGGACAACCTTCTCCAGGGCTCGTCGGTGTCCCTCCTGGGTGACGATGTCGTTTTGGATGTAATGAGCGTTCCCTCAGCACGCGAGCGAGAAGACGCGCTGGGGAGCGAAGCATTCGACCTGGAGTGCCAAGTTAAACAGGTTCAGGACGCCGTGGATTCCTTGACGCGGATGCAACAGAGGTGAGTGAAGCTGCGTTAGTTGAAGGTAACTAGGAACGCACCGACCCACTGACACTGGCAATGCTTATCTCCCGCTCTGCGCCACAAATACGCCTGGGAATGCCTGGCATTGCCGCTCATTAATAGTGAGTTTAAGCAGGGGACTTCACCGTGATGCAGCAGCTGGTGCAAAATTAACTGAGCCCTCTATGGGAGATCCGATGGACTGTACTGTAAGGCATAGGCAAACTATTTATTCTTCTGATTCTACACACTTGATCCCATATCCGAAACAAAGAAATGAATTCGTCTTCGATTCGAAAGGCATCTCTCCTCACCGATTCCTTGGATGCGTCTATTTTTCAATTCTAGGAACTGGCTATTCATCAGGAATACCTCGTATTTCTCAAATAAGGCACGTCCATGTGCAGGAAAGGGGTTAAGAAAAACGGCGATATCTCCTGAAAAGATCAAAATCTTTTGAAGGAAATTTGGGATGCAGGTTCAATTTGTTTTACTAATGACACAAATTTTGTTACTTAATCAGAAAATACTCGGATCTCAAGCACGTGAGAAATACAACAACGAAAAATTGCCTGGTACTTTGACTGGGTTGTTATTTGGGTTTTCCAAGTTCCGCGCTCGTCTCTTTTGAATGATTCGAAAGACAGCCAGCCAGGTTTAGTGTGATATTTCAAGACTAGTGAGAACTTTTCCTCTGACATCGTTTCAGATTTAATTTTGTTGCCTGTTTAGAATTTATTTGAGCTGAAAAAGTTGTCCGCCAATTCTTAGAGTAGGTATACTTCTGTTCACAGCCAATCAGTATAAAATTTGTCTCAAACTGAAGAAGAATATCACGATGAAAATTTCATTTTTAATTCAGGAGTCTGGAAACGAACTTGTTCAGTAAGGCCGATGACCTGGAGGAGGAAATCTGTACGAAGAAGTTCGAACTTCGAGCGCTGATTTTACGGTTAGCCGCCGTCAGAGCCCAGGTACGATCATTTTCGGAGTACAGTACTCACCTCGGAGTCTTCGCCATTTGCAACATTGATGAGTGACTGGCAACTGTTGGTTAACCAATATGGTTATCATTTTGTGTTGTTGCCACCAGTTGGACCTGTTCAAATCCAAGCTGGACGTGATGAAGGGAAAGAAACAGGAGGACTTTCCGCCAAGTGCATATGCCGGCGCTGCGGCCCAGTTCGGGCCCGGCACGCGGAACAAATGGTTGAAGGCCTTCAAATCCCTGAAAACTACCGGACCCGCACCTCCACCTCCACCAGCCCCGTGCATCACTGTCGGGCCTTCGGTTGCATCTGTGACTGCCCCAGTCGTCCCAGCGGCGACTAATGTGGTTAAAGAAGTGCCTACCGACTCCTCGAGGTAAATGCTTAATTACGTCAAAAACTCCGCCACACGTTGCCCCAACTGCCTTTTGTGACTACCGTATTTCACTTGAATATGAGACAAACCTTTTTGCAGAATTCGACTCGGAGAACAGAACGCGTCTTAGATTCGTATGGGAATAACGCAATTGATTCTGATCAACTTAATTTCTTGAGTTGAAATTGAGTGTGAAATTAAGTTACCGGAGTTTTTGATTCTTAATTTCTGTTGGACGTATGCTTGTAGGGAGATTAATGGAAATTAAGACTTGAAAACAATCAATAGGATCCTCAGATTTTTTAAAGAAAATATTTGAGATGCTTCTTATATTTGCTAGCGTGTTAGCTCGATTGTTTGGAAATACAATATCTCAATGTTTTAAGCAAAATTAGGTCAAAATAAATTTAAATCATCAGAATTCTTTCCGTACATTTTATTTTGACGGCACAGGAATATAATTGTTTAAAATAATTCTGAAGAGAAAAAAGACGGCCGTTAAAGCATGACAGAGTAGAATAAAGAGATTCATTCGATTCAGAATTAATATTCTTTTTATTTTGCTGCACGAAAAATTTAGGCGCGTCGTATCTTTCAGAAAATATATTGTGTTTGGTAGTTATTTCTTCACTTCTCCGCTGATTCAAATGTCGGAAGCCGTCGTTCGACGCCGATAATTTTCAGGAGAGGACTTGAGCATATTTTCTCACATTCTTCGATTATGTTTCCTTCTGATGGAATCTAATAAGCACTTCCGAGCCAAGTGGAAGTAGGGAAACTACCCGTCGGGTTTGGCAACTCCGCAGGATGCTTTCAACAGGTGGCCGCGGAAGTCTAGCGCAGGGCCTCTGAGCACAGGGCATCCTGCTCCATAACTCTGGTTCCCAATTCTGCTCTTCGCATCCAAGTAGAGAGCACCGTTGAGGGACTGATGGAGATTCACGGCTCGAGCTTCAGTCGTGGAATGATGATATATTTAGAGAGCGTAACCTGGATGGGTCGAAATTTAACTGGCCATAATCTGCGTACGCGTCAGTCAGGAGCTACTGATCCACCCCCCCCTTGTACGCCCTTGCTGGTGTCTTGTGTCGTAGCCCATCTCGTGCACGCTTTTGTTCTTCGCGACCGCGTCCGCGGGATTCGCTGACAGCGAACCTGGGATAACGACGTCCGGATTGTTGCTGCGGAATCGACAGCAGTCCCGACTCGTACCCGTATACCTCACGCCGGGATCGGGTTCATGAATACGAGATGAGCAGCCTTTCCGGGCCCTTTTCCTTTTATCCCGCGATCGATCTGATCCGTGCAAGCATGTTACGAGGGGCTCAACTAACGTTCGCTGTGCCTTGTTTACTGCTAATAAACCGAGGTTCAGGCCCGGTGTATGTGTTCCTGGCGGGATTTATCCGTTCTCTCAGTACTTATTGATCGGCCCTCGAGTAGACGCTTCTTTTCTAGGTTTTGCATGCGATTATTTAAATCCCGACGAACATGCCAATCCTATATGATGGAGTTTTCTACCTGAGCAACGCTCCCCGTTCCGCTGAATTATTTTACTACTCGAGCGATCCCGGATTTATTTTTTCTAGTTCCACTATCACAAAAACAATTATTTTCCGGGTTATTGCACACAATTTCGTTGCGGATTTTGCTTAAAATACCCCAAGCTCTTAAAAGTCTCAATCTTTCGTCGATATGAACACAAGAAATACATTTCGTGGTCTTATATATGCTCGTACGAATCTTCGATTTGTTAGGAAGAAATTGTAGGGGATTGTTTTAGTTCGTGGTTGACCACCAAAAGTGTGATTGACATTTGCTATAGCAATTCCATGCTGTAGTGCACGACCAACTCTCGCATACGAATATGCTGTTCTGAAATAGTTTCAGTCGAATTGAAACTCTTCATCATTGAGTAAAGCGAAAATCCAGGAATGCAACACGACAGGTTGCTATCACGGATATCATATGGACACTTTTTCGTAGATGTGACGATAAATGTACATTTATGTATGTAGCTGGGATTGTAATATTTATAGATATTCTCTTAGGTGATGTGCATATTAGGCCATTTCGGTAAGGTTTTGTATAGCTGTGCGTTTAAACCCATTTTATTTCATTGTCGGTAGTTGGAACAGTCATAGAGATCAATTCGAAGGGTCGTCACAGACTTACAGTGGGTCCCCACTTACTGACCAATTTGCACAGGTACTGATCCAGTAAGTGACCACTCCAAGTCCCAAATAAGCTCTTTGTGACTGCTTCCAAAAACCAGTTTCCTATATGGGAAACTGAATTCACTGCTTCGCACTACTGCAGTCTCTAAATTATCTATGCCGTGAATTCATGCGGAAACCTGGAAAAGGGGCTCTTTGTGTTGTGTGGGTGCCGCAAGAGCGTGTTTCAAGTATTGTACAGTACTTTACTCAATGCAATTGAAATTGTTGTTTTCCTGTACTGCCTAATTTTTTTTCATCTGTGGTGTACAGTAATTTAAAAGTTTAATTTTTATGAAAATGCCAGGTACCTCGAGGTTTGTGTGTAAGGTTATTTTTTCAGATTGAATCGGGAAAATCAATTCAGTATTGATATCGGACAAAAATTGTCATTGTGATGGCAAGAGTGTGTAAAAAGCTTGTGAAAATGGTGCGATGCATTTTCGTTCAACATTCCTCAAATCTCTCTCACCATATAACTAAACTCTCCAGCATCATGTATTGAATCAGTGATCGCAATTTTGTCTCAATATCTGAGTGAATGAAGCATTTTGGCTTCAACCATGTCCAAGAGCAGAATATTGAATATTTTCCCTTGGACCCTATGACTTAACGTATGTTCCGATTGAGAACCATCATCTCGGAATGGATTACAGTCTCTAGATGGTTTCCCACGTATACTTGCAATGATGTGTCATCACGTCAGTCTAACAGGATAAAATATACAGTGCAGTAGGTCTTTCATCCGCCGTGATAATCAATGAATCCAATGTGTCGCGAGAAACAGCTTCACCAGAAACAACCGATTCAGAATTTAAATTATTATGATTAATTTTTCAAGCATGTTTTTTGTTGAACCATGTTCTCGATGCATGGAGGAAATTTGCGGTACGTTGAGTGAAACAATTTTGCATTTCTTGATTGGTGAAAAAAAGGATGTATTTCTGTGGGCAAAGAAAAAGGACGATACCCTCAACTTAGTTCAGCATCGTGTTTTCCGGCTGCAGGATGCTGAAATATGCATGAGAAACTCCGGAGGTAACGTTCAATACTTCACAGCATGGGGTTTCGTTCGTTATTCGGAGGAAATAAAAAAAACGGGCGGAACTTCGCTGAGAACTTACTATAGATGAGGCTTCAAGGTCATGTTGACGCCACTCTGATCATTTTCTCGAGGAAGTTCATGCTGTGCAAGAATTCGCGGAAGCGACACGCCGCCCGCTCAGGAATCGTTTGACCTTTGAGACCTGCCACAGGTGTGCAGCACAGATGTAGCATTTTGAGACGAAACAGTTACGCTCAGTATAGCTACGCTCGGAAATCAGGTAATTGAAATTTCCCCGTGCCCCTCGAGCGGGGTTCTAGATGAATTTTCGCTCATTAACTCGGCCCGGGGACCACCGGGGGCAAAGGGAGCCTGGGAAATTGCACAGGTAGAAGTTATATTGTATCGACACAGCAGTATGAGGCTTTGTGTAGCGAGGTTGTCATCCCGTGCGGATCAAGACAAGCAAGCGGATGACAGAGAAGCGCTGCGAAATTGCCGAGGCCTAAAAACCGCGTGCCCCGTTACACAAAGGCGAGTTGGTGTTGGGCCTGCATCATGATTAAGCCTGGAAGTTACCACGACGCCGCCGGAAGTTTCCGAGACCCCGTGACGTCACTGCTCGATATTCTCAATAGTCGAGCACTTGATGAATTGGGAGACTATTAATCTCTCGCGAGAGACTCGCCTGCTACAAGGCTACTGTTTTCTCTGCCTCTTGAAGGATCACTCTTGCGAGTCCCGTGACACTTAGGTCTGATCACTGTTTTCTTTTCTTTGATGCATTTTTCATGTGCTGCTGCCATTGTTCCTGGACCGTGTCCGGTGGGTGATGGCTCAGATTCGTCGCCGTCGTCTCAGCAGTCATGGCTATCAGGTTAGTTGGTGCCACATGCTATGTTCCCGTTGTTCCCGCGGCATTGCTGCCTGTGTCGCGCCTAAATGAAATTCTTCTGCACATCGTCGGCAGCCTCGTGCATGCCGCGCACGTACATTATTTCCGCGACCCCGTGCTGATGCTCGCATACTCGCTCGTCGCGCTCAAACGCATGCGATTCCCGCTTATATTGTAACCCGTCGGACTTGATTCGATAACTCGGATGAATCAGAAATCCCCCTGTGCACTTCCGAAGTCGACATGGGGACGCATCGCGCGGATTGCTTCGGATGTCCGCACATAATCGTTCTGATCTCGGAGCCTGCATTGTTGCGCGCCCCACCACGCCTTGATCCAGATTTGTCTTGGCGAACTCGTTACTGTTTCGCGTTTATATTCCCGGTGTCCGGTGCGGCATAAAAAGGCGCACTTGGTATAATCGTTGCTCAAACATTCTCCGTAATGGGACTTTGTAGGAAGGGAGGATCCAAGGACCGGGACAGCGCTTCGCTGCTGAACATCAATCACATTTTCCAAGAATATACGTACAAAAAGATTACCGCGTGTGACGTCTGCCAGGAGATTCTCCGAGGTGAGTCTTATTTCTTTTGTTCCTCGACCCTCAAAAAAGTGCACCGGGCACTGCGATAGGAACATCTGCTCCGCTTCATTAATTTCCCGTCGCCGAAAATACTCCATCATTCATTCTTCGGCCGACCTTAGGTGTCATTGGTTGCTATCCTTAGTGAGTTAAATTTATGCAATGACCCGTGGGTCCTGATTCCTGATCGAGATGTTCCGCTGTTCCGTCCAAATATTTTTCTTCCACTGGATCCAGAGAAACCTAAAGAAAAGCCTACCATCTCCATATCTTGCTGAACCTCGACCTTCCCAGTCTTTGACGAACTCGGCATTTCCAAGAAAATCCCGTTCTGTCGCAATCATGCATAATCGTGGCTTCTTCGTTCCTATAAGCGCTGCTTGTCAGGATTCTCGCGTTATGAGCAAGCAGTACCTTGCACACGTTTTCCTGAAGCAATCTTTCCGAAAATTCAGCCTTTAATGGTACTTGAAAGTGCTTCTTCTAGTGGAAAAACTCAGCTTATATCCTCGTAAGTGGGTACCGCGTTTTCTCGATAAGTTTTTAATGTCTCTATGCCATATTTTTCTTCTCTTTGTTCGGCTAGAAAAAGTCTAGTGCTTAACTATTAATAACTTTAAGAGAAATTAAAAGCCCGAGATGATGTGTACCGCAAATGGTATCTGGGGAAAACGCTGGGAGGAAAATGCTTCCGGGGAGAAAATGCTGGGGATAAATTGACGCGGGACGAGGAGGGTACAAATATTCTACGGAGAGACAATGCATCAGCGAAGTTGCGGTTGACAAATACACGTTTTATTGTTAGGGTTGATCTATTTGGAAAATCAATCAAAGATGTACAATATTTGTAAATATCCTCCAATTTTCCGTGCGGAATATTTTTTCCCAGCGTGTCCCTTTTTGGGCATTTTCGGCTGATGGTGTCCCGCAGCTTGATTTACTCTCGGCATTGCAGTTTTCTGAAACATTCCCATTCCCGCCTTTTTTTCAGCGGCATTTTCTCTCCATAAACTTCTGTCTGCGATATTTTCTTTCCCTGAATCCCATATCCCAACATATTGCGTCCGTGGCATTTTCTAACGCCCCTGTCTTCCTCCTCCCCGGCGTCTTCTCATGGCGCCACCGCCATAGTAGTGTAAATTTACCTTTGAAGACCGAAATCGATCGCGACAAATTTTGTGTGAAGGGTTGATTAGGTGGTTTCCCTCTGCGATTATTCGGATTAATATGGGGTCCCTGAGGATTCATGATTTCTGCGGATGGGTTCCATGAAATGAGAAGCACGTGATGAGGGACAAAGGTGAAAAAAATGCGAAGAAGCAATCGTTCGAATTCCGGTTGGTAGTACAGATCTCAGGCCATGACGAAACAGCGAATTCTGAGGACTGAGTTTCAGCCAGTACTATAGCTATAGACAATTCGGCACGCATCGGTGTGCAAGCTATATTTGTCATCCGCAATCGATCGCAAGGGAGTTTATTCAGCGATAATGAGGCACTAACCGACGCAGGGCACACGAGACAGGGGATGAAGTGTCGGCTTTGCAAGATGAACGTGCATTTGGAGTGCCAGAACAACGCGGCCAAGTGCAAACCAAAATCCCGCTTGCTCCTCCGACGTCAGAAATCAACATCGGAAATCGAAGCAAAGCTTTTACAGGACAACCAGGATCAGTGCGGCGAAAGTAAGTGGCTGCCCGTACTGAAATATCTATCGCATGCATTATTTTTATCTCCCTTTGCCTCTCGCTTTTGCGACTTGGTATTTATTCATCACTTAGCGCCTGAAGACTAATTTGTAGCGTCGGCGAGTGATAATGTAGGCAGCCTGGGTGCTTAACTGAGCCGTTCTCCGTGGTATCCCAGGGCATCTCGCGGGCAGACAGTTCGGAAGCGACAGGAATATTGTAACAGGCGATAGAAGCGGATCGTCCAGCAGCCGCCCAGAATTGCTGGCCCTACAAGGCTATTCGTCAGCCGCACGAGGCGGACCAGCAATACCACTTCACCCCTCTGGTGAATACTACAATGTGCCTTCTGTCAAGCGGTTTAGCTATGCCCCCAAGGCGACTCCTACTTCATCAATGCTAAGTGTTGGTTCCGTTGCCCATTCCTCTTCAGGTTAGCGACAATTCCGAATTTTTCACTGCACCTATTGGAAATCACGAGACCCCTATACTGCTTTGTTGCAAATGTGTTCCCCTTTCACGTCTATCCTTCGTGTCCCCCCCACGGATACTTGTTGAGTGGCACGAATGCTTTCCCCAATTGTCTCCGCACCTCGGCTCTACCCTTGACCGGAAAGAGTCGGTCTTCGTTGACTCCTTCATGCTGGCCGTATACTTGCGAGTCCGCGGCCGAGCTGGACGCACCGCCGACGCAGTCAGTAGTCAGGCTATAGTTCAGTCTAGCTCTTTCGGCATGCTGGTACTCCTTTTAATATTCAATTCCCTTACCATTCGTCGATTTCTTACTTCGTAGCTTTTCCCCGAGGAATGAGTGCTTCTTAAGCTAAATCACGACTGCCGGGTTACTTGGGGCGGAATTACGGTGAACTTCATTGGTTGTAGCTCGGCTTCGGGATCCGGTTTATAGATTTCTTCCATCTCTTTGCTAAAAATAGAAGCGTCAGCTGCAAAAAACATCGATGTGTTTACTTCAGTAGCTTATAGTTTTCGATCAATTCGAGCTTTGACGAAATTGAAAATAAGTGCCGAACTCTTGTCGATCGCATTCGAGCGCAAGATATTATCAGCGCAGTCGGAATGCTTAAACGTTATGTAACGCAGGCTCGATGAACAGGCGGGAAGTCGATATTTGCGGGTTACCTCAAGTAATCGGCACTCATTGGATATCTTTCATCGATCCGCTTATAAACGCTCAACGAAATTAGATGCCTGATCAAGTGTAACAGTATTTTTCCCTCTGCGGATTGTTCCCTTATCTTGATTAGCTTAGCAGCCATGTATTCCAATTTAGCCCACTTTTTGAGTGGAAAGTCTTACATTTTCACGGGGCAAAAAAAAACGCATGGGTTTTTCTCTTATATCGTCCGCTTATTTAGCCGTTGGTGCTATTCGTTTGAAGGTACTGTTTTGGCTGTACCCTGTATCGCTTTGCCCCCACCATCTAATTAAATCTCAATTGTGTGAATAACTGTTCGTTTCTTTTCACCTGAACACCCCACCCTTACATCGAACCAGACACCAAGTATAGCGTAGCGTTGACAATTCTCAGCCCGAGCCACGTTGTGGGTTTATCTCTCGCTGAAAGAATGACTTTTGAGTCAACTGCGTCCGAAGTCCGTTTTTTCGTGTTGATTTTCCGTTCTACTAACATTAAGTTACCAGGGTATTCATCTCCCCAATGACAAGCTTCAAAATTATACACAGTTTCGACGAACTATGGAGTGTCCATTCATTCGAGTAATTTTCTTGTGAGTTAAAGTGGGGATCTGGAGTAATGGAGTAATCTGGATGATTGTAATGAATTGATTCATGCTTGGAGCCAATTTGAGGTGCAATAACAGAACAGTGAAGGAGACCTTCACGAGGAAAACATGGCTCTGATCATCACGCAGGATTAAGTGCAATGAAAGATGTATTCAGGAACAATGCTATGTCGAATTAATCATAATTAGAGACAGTTACTTTGACTATGAGTATGAAAAAAAAACAATGCGAAACAGTAGTTTTTGCTAATTTCTTAAAATTCTCAATAAAAGTTCCCATTCCATGCCTCCACGAAGTTACTCTCCTGAAATTTACTTTCGAGCGGAAACCAGTTTTTAATGTTCATTACCTTTGTTTAATTTTTGACTGGGTGCATGAATAGTTAATTTAAATACAAATCAATTTGAAATTGTTTATACTGTACTTCCAATTACACTAGACCGTGAGATTGATCATGAAAACCTTTCTAGAATTTCACTCACCCTGCGCAGTGAGTTTTGTCAACGCCACGAACAATTTTATGGATCATTCAAGTGAAAAGAACTGATTGTTCACCATGTTAGAGAACCTTTCTCATGTACTGTAAACGATACTGTGATCAATGGTTTCAGCAAGTACACGATATTTTCCGAATCAACCAATCGAAAATTCTTTCTTTACATTTTAATGATTTTAAAAAGTTCGAGAGAAACCGCACCTCGTCGATTGAAGAACATTGATAGTTGCAGCTCGGAACATTTTTGCACTTCAAAGCAAGCGGGTACCGGGTAGAGAAATCCATGACTTGAGACTTGTAAATTGAAACCTGTTCGCTCACACCTTTTGTTCTTAGTGTTCCTCGCCTTGAAGACCTTCCTTCGTTCCCAATAGAGCTTTTTTTTTTGTCGCGGCAATGCGACTTCGGCGCCCGCCTCGAGTAGTTCAAAGTCCGTTCTTTTCTGCCAGCTCCGGCAAGTCCCGTGCACCATCGGCAACACCTTCCGGGCTCGCGGCCCGTGCACGGCCACAAACGTGTGGAATACCAGGACGACAGGAGCTCTCCAGAGGACTCCGTCGAGTCCCCAATGGTGTCTCCACAGTCCCAGGTGAGAGCAGATTCCGGAGTGGTGACGACAACGTGATGCATACGAAAATATTCATCGTCCGTTCGCCGGGAATTTCGGCATCAAAAGTTATGTTTTCTTCCCGCAGCGGCCTTTGTACCATCGGAATGACAGGAGGGCGAGTGCGAGCGGAGGATATGTCGCTCTTTACAACTTCATTGGGCGTCTGGCGGATGAACTTCATATGAGGTGAGTCTGGCTCTATATTGTCCCCGGGAATGAGCTGTTAACATCCGGTAGAATGAAATGAACCTGCAGCAGCTGTGGCCCCCCCAATAGCTCCGACATTCGCTTTTCAAACATGCTCTGATCGTACATATGCTCCCCGTCATCGACTCAAATTGGATCACAGCACATGCGACGAGCATAATGGCACAAACTTCTCATCGTATCTCCCATGTTTTCTTCTTTCAAGTGGTCTCAATTTCCACACGATCCATTTCTACACTATGTGTCAACAAACATTTGATTTGAAATTGGGGGTTTTAAAATGATCACGTCACTGGAAATGCTTTTCCGGATAGTTTCCTGCCTTTCGGATTTTTTTTTACGTTTTCGCCTGCCTGATTTTTATACCATAAATTACGATAGAAGTGGAAAGTCAGTCATCCTGGAAAATATGTGCGACAGTCTCGGTGCAAGAGGGATTAAAATGGCGGGAAAAAATTGTTAACTGCTTGAGATTTGAGTTAATTTTTTAGGGATTCTGTTGCTCTCAGAACATGTATAGAAATTTGTTGAATAGCATCACTCTGTTCAGACATCCATGAAACAGGGAATGTTTGATGATTCGCTTGTTTTATTTTGTCTTTCCAAAAGTTCGGAGGATTGAAAAAATGGGGAAAAGCAGGAAACAGTCTAAATAATCCTTTGTCTGATCATGAGAACTACAGTACAGTAAGTACCCTACTTCTAAATGAATTACTGATGAAAAAATGAACTGCGCTTGGAGATCAGGTGAATCTTGCTGAACGGTTTGATTGTTTTTATAGGGACGAGCGCCAATATTTAGGAACAAGTTTCTGTGGTTATGACAGATGATTTACTAATCTCGTATTATTTTCTGATGTATTTGTCGTTTCCATGCCTCGTTACGAACTTAATTCTTTCTGAAGTTTTAAAAATTGCATCGAGGTTTCCTGTTTAATACCAAAGTCTTCTTAAAAGCATGTCAACTTTCATGTTCGCCATCAAGTTCATGCTGGTTTCTCCTGCGACATCGTTACATCCTCATAAACATTTTGAATCATTGCGACGTCTGAAGGAGCGCTGCTCGAGTGGCTCGTGCATCCGTTGCGGAATGTTGGCCGAGGGCACGAGTACCTCTTGAACCTTTAACGCGTTCGGCTGCACAAATGCTGACGACGGTTTAATGTTGCGTGTGGGAAGGGATCACGGGCCGAAGCAATTTGGGAAGTGTGTGGACGATAAGGGCCGAGATGTCGACAATATAGCGGTTACGAGGACATCAGCAGCAGGGGAATACGTGAAAGCCGGCGATTGCCTCTCGTTCTTCATATCAGAAATTAGGAGAGGTTGAAGCAGATCTGTTGGTGTATGTGCCCTCGAAAATCCCGCGGGACGAACCGGATGGGGGTCGACCATAGCTTTTTGCAGGCCCGATTAGGGCGGGCGAGGCGGAACCGGTATTAAGTTCTGCAAAATGAAACGGCCTCGGTCTCGCTGGGGACCCGAACTCTGTCCAACGCGAATAAGACATCCGACGCATCTTACATCCAAATTCATGTCCAGGAAATTGTTAGGCGTTACTGTCAAAATGCAATGTGCGCATGCAAATATTTCCGATTAAAATTCCGGGGCCTACACCAACTTGGAAGGTAGTACACGTCTCAAGGAGAGGGATGCTTATTCAAAGAGGAAGGCCTCGTCTTCAGAGTGCCATCCACTTCGTGAAAGTTTCACGAAACGGGAAGCCCCACCTGGATGTCGAGAAAATCCATAGCTTATCTTTGACATGTCCTCTTTTACGAAATGGCACTCACAAAATCGTCCAAAATCGTCAACTGGAAAACTAGTTCCGGCACATAACCCTGAAATGTGCTGAGGACGGCGAAAACTGTAGAACAACCTTCTACCATGATTTGAGTGGGAAAAGTTGAGCTGACTCGCGGAAACCTGGTCTCGGCTTTTTCAAATCTTGTCATTGAAGAGCACGAAATAGTTTGACACTGTTTCTGTGAATAGGTCTGGCTGTTTTCGGCCCAGTGCCAAATGCCAAGCCGTAAAAACCCTCGCATCCTCCTCGTGAAGAATCAGCAATCCAATGGAGGAGAAACTTCGCTTTCGCCCGCGATTCTGAGTGAAAAAATCTGAGGCATCCCAGCTTTCGTTTAGAGACCACGGCATTCTTTCCATTTACAACATCTCGATATTTGTACCTATGTTCGTCATGGGTTTCTTCCACTTCTGTAGAAAGGAACAATTTCCTGAGTCGCTGTTCCTCGTATAGCTATCGAAATAAAAGTCAGCATACTGTTTATCGAAATAATCGAAATAAATATACATTATGTAAATATGAATATTCGAAATAAAAGTCAACATTTTTAACGATTTTCGGAAACTTTCACGGAAAATTTCTGAAAATTCTGGACATGTACCTCCGCGTAAATTAGCTCTACCAGCAAACACGACAGAAAAGGTCTTATGTGATTGAGGTCCCTTCCCCTGATGTTCCAAAACTAAACTAAAAGGGTTGAACGAGGAATCTACATTCGCCAAAGGGCGCCTCGTGCCTCTTTAGGGACATTTCGGGTAATTTTCAATATGTGAACGGTACGCATAAGTAGCAGACTTCTCAAACCTTTATACCATTTTCAAGTATGAGAATATACAATTGTCGCCGCATTCCTGTTTCTGCAGTTTTCTCCGAGTATAAGAATGGTTCACTTATGTTCGCGTCATGAATGCAGGTAGTCCGGGTAATCCTTGAAATGTGATGATGACATTTTTCCGTCACACGTTTTCCTGAACATATTTTAATTTATTTTTCTTTCCCAAATGCAATTCTGGCACTTTACCTCTTGCTAGCCCATAGCGTATGAATCATTTTCTGGAAGATTTTTTTTTTCTCGCGTCGGTTATCCGGTTTATACCACAGATTCATTCTTGGATCGTCTGCTGGCACGAAACTCTTGAGGGGGATTCCTCCGTAGGGAATTCACTTCTGCTCGCTGCGTGACTGACCGGTGCATAAGCTCCAATCTCTCATTGAGAAAGAACGATTTTTGCCTTCAGAGCTGGAGAAAGGGTGACTGTGCTAGACGCTTCCGATCCTGACTGGTGGAAAGGCAGTGTCCAAGGATCCACAGGTTTCTTCCCTTCGAATTATGTCACAAAGCTGGTTCCTGGAGAAATTCCGCTTCAGGTCACCACAAACCTACAGATGACCGATGGCGACAAGGAGGGACTGAAACTTCTTCGTGACCAGGTGAGATCGGCCTTGTTGTCGACCCTGAAGGATGAAAATATAAACTATTCCCAGGAAATTAGACGCCTTAGACTCATAGAATTTATACCGAAGTGCACTCGCAGCTTCGCGTATGACCAGGAAGTGGAGGGCGCGTGTTTCCGGTACTCGTATCAGGTCTCGGAAGACCATGTTCTCTCAACTCCGTTCTTCGACGCATGCTCATCATGAAGTACATCGAGGAATATGCACTATTTAATGGATCTTCAAAATTAAATAGATGGATGAGAAGGATTTTGAATCATCTGCGTCGTATTTCGATGAAAATCAGTGAAAAAAATACTTTCCGTGCTATTTCCAGAACTCGACGTACGAATCGATCCCCGTCGTAAAAGAGCAATATGCCCCAGGATTGATGTCGGAGACAGCCGAATCGGCGAAAATAACATTTCTTGGAAAATAAGTAGCTTTCTTCGGCGTTTATCCCTATCTTATTGAACTGCTGCTGGTTCGATGCCACCAGCAGAAAAGCAAAAATATTTTCAGACGTCGGGGTAAATTTTTATTAGACCAATTTGTCATTGAATTGTGAATAGAAAATAATTACATCTCGAATATTTTGAATGTTGCATAGGAATTCCCATTGAACAAAAGCTATACTCATCCTGTATCTTTTAAAAAAAAGGTCTATGCTAGGCACATTATCTTGTGCGCACATGATGCAGAAAACTGAAAATATCGTATTTAAAGTTTCTAAATCGCAGATTTTTCTGAAGCGTTCGATCCAAGCAGTAGAGCATATTTATCATATGCTGAACTCCTATATAAGTATTCTTGCACCCAATAACTATAAATCAAAAGCACGTTTCTGAACTCTGTGATTCAGTCATCGTAAATTTGCAGAAGAATCGCCAAAGAGGAAAAGCTCCGGAAAAGTCGTTATGAGAGGGAAGTATTGTACTGCGAATTCATGCTTCTTTCAATTTAACCAGTACACATGAAGACGGAGCATCAGGAACGTTCGACAGTTTGCGATAAGCCTTGAAATTTGCGAACTTCAACTTCCGCATAATATTTTGTTCACAACGACGCACGGTAATTCGGTATCATTTATGAAAATTATGTCGAGTCTTGGTACCAATTGTGCCGGATACTCGTAGTGTCACCGGCAGAATTAGAAATACGCTTTGGGCTTAAACTTTGAAAATTATAAAACAGATGTCGCTCTTATTTCACCACAGATCGTGATCCAAGTTGGAATGGACAAGGGCGACGGATTGATCAGGATCCGCAACGGTGACAACCAATACGGCATTTGTCCAGCAAAATATCTCCAGGATGTATGAAGGTTACCCATCGTTACAGCAGAAATGCTGTCCCAGAGAATTAACCAACTGGCTCCTCCAACAACGCTGCGTGGCGGAAACACTGCCCGTATTTCAATGCTTCTTCCCGCTACGGAAAATGTGACGAACTCCGGCGCTACGTCCGGCATGGATACTGTACCCCCGTGAAAATGCAGCCCGTCGCCATATTTTTATCTGTTCTGCGCGGCTTGTTCCCGTGATGTAACATCAGATAACCGCTAATGTTTCGTGACCCCCACAGAAACCTAGGCGTTGACTTGAGCGACACTCGAGCACTGACGAGATATTTTGTATTTTTGTAGCCGCCCCCGCAGGCAGCAAATAACTGTCGAGATACCATCTCATTTCTCGACGCCCCATCACATCCAGAGGTCCAAAAGAGATGATGGGGTTTGTTCCGAGGCGATCGGCTCGGCATAATGAACGAATTGACGTCACTAACCGGGCAGACCCACGGTTTAATGTTCAGAGGTGTTTTATGAGAGACTTGACAAAAAAATCGCTTCATTCGAGATCTGTCCGAGAGAACGATTTGGATGTTCACATCCTGCATAGAATTTTACCCGACACCGCATTTACATTTAGTTATGCTGTGCTTCCTTTTCCTTGGCGTTATTATTGGTGTAGGTTTGCTGTATACTGGAAGTGCCGAAATACGAGTTGTTGGTCATTTCAGCTGGTAGTTGTTGTGCCGAGTCGTGGAAAAAAGAAAATTTGTGTACCCGCATCGAGAGCTTCGCTTAGTGTCACGTCGTCGATTCAGTGTGTCCCAATAGATATTGCTGGAGATATAAAACCAAAGCGATGTTTCCTATTTAAAAAAAAGCGTCCGTTGCGTCAGATTTTTCTGCGGAACAGCAGTCGTCAGCAAAAAACAGCTGTATGATATTAAATGCCGTAAAGAAAACATCCTATCGAAAGCTGTTCAGTATAGTAGGACACTCAATTCATTGATGGTGTCCGTGAAAGTAGATTCCCATTCAAACGGAATCTCCCGGAAAATTCGCCAGGCTATAAAAAAATAGGTGTAATGATAATTTAAGCAAAGTGTTCGTGAACATTTTCTTAGAATCCGATGATACCATTTTGGCAAGTATCTTTCGTAATTACGAACGCTTTCGATCGAATTCATTATACACACACACTCTCTCTCTCTCTCTCTCATAATACTGTAAAGAAAAAGAATGATGTGACAGCGATATATTTTTTAGAGTTTACTATGTGCTAAAGCTTCTTGCAACATACAGTACTTATTATTTCTATTATTTCTACCAGTTTCAACAGCAAATACCCTGCTGCTTTCCGACATTTACTGTATAGAACTATAGATAATACTTTATACATCATTGTATGATATAATGCTTGAGTAAATGCAGACAAAATTGCGTTTGCATTTTACTTTTTCAGGCTAAAAAATACGCAATAAAAATCAAAATCTAAGGATCCCTATTCTGAGCTCTTAAAATGTCCAAATTAAAAAAAAATGCATAGATGGAAGGGATAATTCAATGATACACTGTAATTGATTTTGGAATG